TTTTTTTTTTTTTTTTTTTAATTTTTTTTTTTCAACGTTTATTTATTTTTGGGACAGAGAGAGACAGAGCATGAACGGGGGAGGGGCAGAGAGAGAGGGAGACACAGAATCGGAAACAGGCTCCAGGCTCCGAGCCATCAGCCCAGAGCCCGACGCGGGGCTCGAACTCACAGACCGCGAGATCATGACCTGGCTGAAGTCGGACGCCCAACCGACTGCGCCACCCAGGCGCCCCGCCCGTGTTGTTTTTATTGTTCATAGGGTATTTTTTTTTTTCTTCCAGATATGGAATGTGCTGATGTCCCACTGTTAACTCCAAGCAGCAAAGAAATGATGTCTCAAGCGTTGAAAGCTACTTTCAGTGGTTTCTCTAAAGAACAGCAACGACTGGGAATTCCCAAAGGTATGTTGTTGATAGAAAAAGAGATGGGATCAGGCCTTTAGGTGAGGTCAGTTTTCTCACCTATAGAGTGAGATAGACATGATTGCTAATCATACTTTGGTCGGTGCTTCCATGCTAATGTTTCCCCATCTGCCGGGTTTGACAACTGCCATCTTGGTCTTAGGACAGTGGTTCCCAAACTTATTTGCACATGAGATTCAGGATCTTCAAAGAATCCCTAGCCGGGGGCCGTGTCTCAGACCCATTAACATGCAATTCCTTGTGGCATCAGTATTTTTGAAGCCTCTCAGGCAATTCCAAAGCACAGACAAGCTTGGAAAACACAGTCTTCAAGTCATTCTGGGCCATCATTGGATGAACTCAGCGAGCTACATTCCTTGGAATTTAACTGATCGCTCTTTTCTTTTCCATGTACTTTGGTGAAATGTGTTTATACTTGGGTGTTCTCATCTGAAAAGGTTTATTTAGGAATGTAAGGGGACTGGAGTTGTCAGAAAGGACAAATGACTGGAGAACACTTAAGCCTTCAGCAAGCAACATTTCCCGAACAATTGAGAGCAGAAAGAATACTTTTCTGTTGAGTAAGGGTAACACTGTCTATTGCTTCCAGCCCAGTCAGACCCCCATGTTAGATTCTGTGAAGGCGTCTCCAAACCTTCTCTCGTGTATGTCCTACTTTCCCACAAACCTCAGCTGACAGCAATGTCCAGCATCTTATCAAGAACATAAAGCAGAATATTCACAAAGGGAATTCTGACCACTGGCTTGCCCGCATCTCATAAAGTCATCTGCTAGATTGAAGGGGGTGACCTTGACAGCAGGTGTGGTGTGAGCACCACAGCCTGCCGCCCTCTGAACCCTGTGAGGGCCACGCTGATGTACTCACATTCCACCTCAGGCCACGTAGGAAGAGTATGTATTGTCTGTTCTCTGATGCTGTTCCAGCCTTGCAGGATGTCTGGTGTGATGAACACAGGCACCTGATGATATCGTTATTAGCAAATACCGTTTGACTTACTGTTACTAGTTGCTATGATTATTACTAGTTGTAATTAGCCAAGGTAAAAATGATTAATGATAATGCCTCAAGTCAGTTATAACGGTGAAGAGCAGGAGCAGGTGAGTGCAATCTCTAGAACGGACTTGACTGTCATTATTGCTATTAAAGAAGCCATTTTGTTCCTTTGTCCTGGACTTAAAAAAAAAAAAAAAACACCCTAATGAAAATAAGGCAGTGAGAGAGGAGCTTCGTGAATTTTTTAATGAAGGGTGGAGAATACTCATGTATTACTTTTTGGTCGATGATAGTGATCTCCTAACTGGCGAGATAGAGAAGTTGGGGATGTTGAGTGTTGGGGGGGAGTATTATAAAAGGTGCCCCACAACATGCCTTTATAGGCGGGTGCTTCCTAAATCTGTAAATGAGAGAGCATCCTCAGTACATTCAGATCCTTTAATGTCCTGTCTGGGGCATGGGCAAGAGGTAAAACGTGACCTGCTGGATCTCCCTTTGCTCTCTTTCCTCAGACCCCCGGCAGTGGACAGAAACCCATGTGCGGGACTGGGTGATGTGGGCTGTGAATGAGTTCAGCCTGAAAGGTGTGGACTTCCAGAAGTTCTGTATGAATGGAGCAGCTCTCTGTGCGCTAGGGAAAGACTGCTTTCTCGAGCTGGCCCCGGACTTCGTCGGGGACATTCTGTGGGAACATCTCGAGATCCTGCAGAAAGGTAACGGTGTGGAGGCCGGGTGGAACACACCCAATGGTGGGACATCGATGCCATGATGTGTGGGTGTCCCCTCGAGGTCTTAATACGCGCTGTGGAGGCATGTCAGGCTGGCGTGTGGCAGGTGCTTAGTAAATGTTAGTTTCTCTTTCTCCTGTGTATTAGGGGTCCAGATTGTAATATTTCACAAGATTGCACTCTGGACGCTTCTTGCGATGCAAAATTCTCATCTCCGTCCGTATCTCAAACTCATGTTCTCTTCGAGCAGTGTCTTCGGCCAGCTCCAAGACAGATAGTTGTTTTTTTGTTTTTTTTTGTTTTTTCTTTTTTGCCTGGCAGTCTTCGTACCCATTCCCTTGATTCATGGCAGTGTGGTACCTGTCCACATCCCGCAAGAAAGCTTCGATGCTCGGAGCTAACTAGTAAGACCGGCTTCCCTGCCCAGTAACGGGGTTGGGGTTACAGCGGTGTGGTATACCTTTGTCATCCAGAACAGACACCGGGGTCAGGTCAGGATACCATGTTGCAACCTTGTAATGACATGGCCTCCCCTACGAGCCTCTTCCAACCTTTTTGGACCAAGTGACTCATGTACCACAGTCCTGGCTGAGTATAGAAACAGCAGCAGGCGGCAAACTTGGGTGTTTTTGCACTTATTTTTCTGAATTTCTTCTTAAAATAAATTGCAGTTACCAGCAGTCAGCGGTGCCCTCCAGCTGACTGTAAGCCTAGAAGCCCGGTGGCCTCTCTGACCCAGGCCCACCCTTTCCCTGTGGTCACCAGCTCCAGCCCGTGGCGCAGACGCTGGGGGCGGGGAGCAGAGCTCCGGATTAGAACTTTTATTCCATATAATACCTTCCTTTGTTCGAGGAGATTTTCCACTCCGCGATGCTCAGGAGAGCCCCAAATTAGATTCCTCTGGGCCCAGAGGTGTTATCTTCCTTCTCCTCCGCCTCTGCCGGAAAATAAATAAATAAACGCAGTCAAGAACTAGGTGAATCTCGCTGCGGCTACCACGCCTGAGGCCTGAGGACGGCCGGGCACAGGCTTCCCGAAACCCCGACATGTCCCTGTGACTGCACAAACACCCACTCCTACGTGTTGACACGAGTGACCTGTTTATAAAGGGAAGAGATGGGGCAGGATCATAACAGATCTGATGTAACCATTGGCATATAAACACAAAGGTGGATTCTACCAGACCGTGTAACCCAAATATATTCTACTGATACGCTGTTTCCCTCTCTTGAGCTCCATGGAGCCGCCAGGTGTTTCTGGAGCGTTTGTGATCACAGCTGTCGTTAATAACTGCGCAGCACCTCCTTGTTCCCGGAGTGCTTTCAAATACGTGTTGTCTCTGGATTCTCAAAACAGCCCCGTGAGATGGGAAGAGTAGTGCGGGTGCCGTTGGTGTCCTCATCTGTAAAATGAGGGCAGATTAGGTGGTTTCCTCTAGATCGCTCATTTCCTTAAACGTAGGTCTTCTTTGATTGAACTTCCTGCCCTGCCTTCTTTGTATAATAATGTGGACTCCTGCGGGAGCCTCTGGGTCCCTGAGACAGGTGTAACTTACTCGCTCCCCGCCAAGGCATAATGGAATAGAATTTAGGCAGATGGGGAAATAATTGAAGATGTTTGCGAACACGAGTCCTCTCGTCCTACCCATTTTCTACTGGGAGAGGCAGTAAAGAACCATCTCCCGTCAGATCCTTGAAGAGCTGAGCAGCGTGTTTGCGTGGAGGCTATGGCTTTTGTTCTGTAATTAAACTAGAGCAACAGAACATAGCTGTTTGGGGTGGGGTGGAAGGCCAAAGGTACAGGGATGTTTCAATCTGATAAGCTGCTAAAGCAGAGTTTAATCATTTTTATCTCGACTGGGAACTGTTTTTTCGGTGCAGGCATAAACTTGTTTTCCCAGCAGTCTCTGATCCCAACAAGCTATCAGGTATCTGAGGAAAAAACCCAAACCAATACTCCCTCTTTATGTCTGATTCTTACTGTGAAACGGAATCAGACCCCTCCATACAATGGCTGAGGTCACGGCACTGGATTCCAGGGTAATGAGAGGATCCTGAATTTACCTTCGTTCAGCGGAGACCTTGTCTGTGCTTAGTTAATTCGCCTACATTCCTTTCTCCTTCCGAGGGGAGTTAGCACCAGGTCACCAGCAGCAGTTGGTGATAACTGTTTTCTCTCTTTGTACAAGCCCTGCCATATCCACCAAAGAGTCACCTTACCGGTGTCCTGTTCTCCTCTGGGCCCACACTTGAAATGTGGGGCGATCGAGAAAACACAACACAAAAACCAGACTTCTGTTAGAAGAAGTTAAAATCCACCTACCTAAAGATTGTAATATGTTTCCAAAAAGTTTTGGAACGCATCAGCCTGAGTGTTGGGCTGGTACCTTCCCAAGCCTCCGATGGTAATGTGGTACACGCGTCCATTAGAATGAGGGTGGAATGCCTTCCCAGCCCTTGGAGATTACTCACTGGTGTTCTTTCCAAGATATTAAATACCATTTTGCAGCTACTGAAATAATAGACTTAGCCATACTTTTGTGATCTCATTTCTAGACAAGGCCCCAGTCAGGGTAGACTCAGACACCAGCTCAGTTAATGAACATGCAGATTTCTTAGAAGAGGGACTGAGATCATTGCAGTCCTTGTGTCCAAGGTCCTTTTAGGCCAAACGTTACTTGCGCGTTGACCTCTTTGTTTTGTTCCTCGCCCTGTCTGTTACAGAGGATGTGAAACCATATCAAGTTAATGGAGTGAACCCTACCTATCCAGAATCCCGCTATACCTCGGATTACTTCATTAGTAAGTTCGCCTTTCACTCGTCTCCTGTGGTTTTTTTCTTCCTATGATGGGACCTAGGAAAGGATTCCTGTCCCAGATGATCTCAGGCTCCTTTGTGGTAATTCTGTGGAAAAGAATATTTTCTTAACTGTAGCCTCTATGTTATTTATTTTGTTATTCCCACAAGGCACAAGGCTTCAACCTATTTACATGTTGATGTTTTTATTAACCTGCGAACTCCTCCACGCCAGGATCTCTCTCCCTGATATCTTCAGCATAAAAGTCATGCAGAGAGACTACAACTTGACCCCTGAACTTTGACCTTATTTGATCCCGTGCACCATGCTGGCCATCAGAGGGTTGGGTTAGAGATATGGCTGTGGCCCTTTCTCTTTCCCTTTTACTGGCAGATATGACAACCCAACCATACTGGAGAGGTGGCCAGAAGAAGAGAATTAGGGTAGGGCTGTTCTTATCTGATGGCCTTGCTTTGGAAGGGAGTCTTGAGTAGGTTGTTTTCATTTTACCGGTTGATTATGATTTTTATTCTAATAACAACAGTGGTATTCACTCCAAGATGGCAAGTGTTGGTAGGCAGTTTACACATACACTCTCCTTTGATCTTTTTTTTTTTTATTTTATTTTTTTTTTATTTTATTTTTTTATTTTTGGGACAGAGAGAGACAGAGCATGAACGGGGGAGGGGCAGAGAGAGAGGGAGACCCAGAATCGGAAGCAGGCTCCAGGCTCTGAGCCATCAGCCCAGAGCCCGATGCGGGGCTCGAACTCATGGACCGCGAGATCGTGACCTGAGCTTAAGTCAGATGCTTAACTGACTGAGCCACCCAGGTGCCCCTCTCCTTTGATCTTTATCACAACGCTCTGAGGAAGATTGCAATCATCCCCATTTTAGAGATGTGTAAATTAAGCCAGAAAAGGGAAGTATCTTGTCAAGGAAGTATCTTGTTCAGTAGTAGAGCAAGGTTAAACACCCAGGCCCTCCTGACTTAAAATATGTTCCTTTCAATCTCTAAGGTAGTAAGCTTGTTTTCAGCTTGTGGGGCTATTGTAAATGGTGAAGATGTGCTTATTTTAGGTGCAAATTGGCCCTCTCTCCAATGGCACACGCTCTCTGTTTCCAGGTTATGGTATCGAGCATGCTCAGTGCGTTCCTCCCTCGGAGTTCTCAGAGCCTAGCTTCATTACAGAGTCCTACCAGACTCTCCATCCCATCAGCTCAGAGGAACTCCTCTCCCTCAAGTATGAGAACGACTACCCCTCGGTCATTCTCCGGGACCCTCTGCAGACAGACACTTTGCAGACGGACTACTTCGCCATCAAACAAGAAGTTGTAACCCCAGACAACATGTGCATGGGGAGGACCAGTCGTGGTAGGTCCGATTTCTTCTCTAGAGGCTCTTGGGTTTCCGAGAAATTACCTAACTTTGTGACTTTTCCAGGTCCCAAGAATAGGTAGATATTAAGGGCTTTCCAACCTGGAATTTTAGCCAGGTCCACCATCGTGACAAAGACCATGGTGTCCATGCTGGAATTGGCATGGTGACCAGTCACATTTCTTACTCGGGTAAGATATTTTATTAAATAACAACTGGTTGAGTGTGGTGGTTTTTAAAGGTATGATTTATCTTCTTTGGGAGAATTTGGCTTCAAGAAGACACAACCAGTTAAAAATGGTTCAGGTGACCCTCCTGGAAAGCCCTGAACTCCACATGTGCCCTAGTGTTCCTCCTAGAGTATTTCTGCATCAGACCGTAGACCCTGGCTTGGTATCTGAATGACCTCTGCTTCGCCTGGGCTCTCTAGCCTCCGGTGACTTCTTTGGTTTGGGAAGACACAAGATGGTAAACCAGTGGATTATTTGGAATCGGTCATCAGCAGTGTGGTGGAAATGTGTAATATTTAGCTAGAGGACCAGGGAACAAGGTGGCCAGAGGCTTCCAAAAGAAGGTACTCTTGTTGACACGACTCTTAGGACAATGATAAAACATTCACTGACAGGGAAGTAAATGTTTCAAAATAGAGCTGACTGACTTTATAAAGCAAAGAAAGGTCAAGCACACCCGAATTTAAGATCAGGACATCAACACTCAGAGGCACACGCCCACCTCGTGAAGTGTCCAGATTGTTTTGTTTCTGAGAAAAGTAGTCTTCTGTCAGGAGATATTTGTTCGTCGAGGAAGAATGAGCTGATTTCTAGAAAGTTGGAAAAAAAAAAAAAAAGACTCTTCTTCCAATGGATAAATGGAGAAAAATTACAAACAGGAAGAGGAACAGGAGAAAGCTCCTCGAGCTGGTGCTCTGAGCGCTTCGGCCACAGAAGACAGGCTGGGCTGGCCTGGGAGTGATTTCTGCTCAGTGATGAATCCCTCTGCTGCCTCTTCTGAGCCTCTCAGAGGGGAGCCCAAAGACATCTTCACTTTGAAGAATCATTCTACAGGCACCAGGGGCCATACACATTGTCATCTTCTTTGAGTGTGAGGCTTACACTTCCTCCCAGCAGGCACTTAGGGTAGGCAGTAGGCCCTGCAGAGGGAAAGTCCCTAGCAAAATCTGAACCTGTAATCTTCCGTCTTAGGGCCCCAGGGTGTTTGTGTTTCAGACCGAAGGGGATGGGTGGAACCAGTTTTGCCTTCCCCTTTCTGACTCTTTTTTTTTTATTTTTTTTATTTTTGGATGCATGTCTATTTAAATACATATACACACATGTGTTTTGTGTGGGCTTTTTTTTTTTTTTTTTTCCAGGCAGGTCAAAGCAGTAGAACTCTTTCTCATGGGGCTTTCTGTACATATATGCGATGAGGCCGAGCGTGAGGGCTGGGCTCTGCCGTGGCATAACTTCGGGTAGCTCTGCCGTCACGCTGTTTTTAAATTGCGTCTGGCTTTGCGTTTGTGTGATTGTCCCTTCTCCCCCTCCTTCTCTCGTTCTTGGTTTTGGGCCCCAGCATCCTTCTGACCCCACGGTCAGTGACTGTGGACCAGAGAGTGACCCGGACGAAGGGGCGTGAGGTGTTTCTCTCTGGCCTCATTCTCCTTCCCTTACGACAGACTGACCACACGAACTGGGGAGGAAGACCATTTTGCTCACGGCTGCTTTTTTGCAGTTGAGAAGTTCCGCAAACATGACATCTTCCAGGGGCTGATGGAAACGGCCATGGTGTGATTGGTTCGAATGAATGCATCACTGTTAGCGGATTATTAGTAGTAATAATCGTGGTATTCGTGTACAGCATTATAGTATACAAAGTGCTTCTGTGTCCCACTTATTTGGACTCTGAGTACTGTCTTTGTGTTAGTCTGTGCAGCGGGTTGCTGTGGGGCTACCCCATCCACTGTTCAGAGTGCTCTGAGGTCTCTTTGGTGGAGTCCGATAGCTTTGGACGGAACTTGCTCTGAGCCATTTCTCCGAGAAGCTTGCCAGTGGACGTCTTCGAGAGCACATGCTTCCCTGCATGAGCACAGTAGCATAACTGAGTGCCTAATCCAGTTGGATTCAACCCATTTTTGGAGAAAATACCCGTAAACGAAGGTTCCCAGCTCCAGGATTGTGAAATAGAGCTAAAAGAAAGCAGCCTACTGCCATAAACCACAACTCTCCACTGAGTTACATTTGGCTCATGTTTGAGAGGCTGCCAGAGGGTGGTTATGGCCTAGTTTAGTGCCCTTGCTTATTGGGGCTCCTTGGAAACTCAGCTCTCCTGCTTGTGGAAATTCCATTCTCCGCGGCCTCCAAATAAACGGAGGTAGGATCGGCTCAGAGAGATTTACGTATCAATACCACCTAAATACTGGCGACTCGGGTGGGGTGTTCTTCATGAAAAATTCTCTTTCTTCGGCTTTCTATCGGTGTGTTTGTCTCACAGAGAAATTGAATGACCATTAAGATGGAGAGCTGGTCTTAGTCAACACCTTTTTATGAGACACCGCAAAATTTCCTGTTCTGTTCAAAAGAGGCTATTGCATTCGCATTGTAGGCTGTTTTCTTGAGTCTTGTAATGTGAATTTTCTGGAAAAGACAATTCTTTCATTTGTCATAATAATAAAGACTTGCAAATGTGCCAGTGGACTGGGTAGGCAGAGCCAGTAACCCATGGAGCTCTTTGGTTTGACTTCTGGAGATTACTCTTCTTCGAATGGATGATTTGAGGAAGGAATGAGATTAAGTAGGTAAATAACTACCTTTCGAATGGATGATTTGAGGAAGGAATGAGATTAAGTAGGTAAAGCAGTATTGGAGGGGATAAGGGGCTCAGGAAATCTGTAACAGTGGCTTTACAAAAAAGTATATATTTAGGTGAATACCTTTTATCTTGGATTTTGTGGTTGTTTGTTTAAATTTTATGAGCAACATATCTTCCTTCCCAATTAGTATATATTTAGTTTCAGTTTGGATACCATAATTAAATATTTGAATTACACTGTGCTAACCACAACCCCCACTATTATGAAGGGGAGAATACACCAGAAACCCACCAGTATTAGCTTGTATAGGCCAATCTTACTCTGGGCTTTAAGCTTTCTAGTAGACCAGCCACCTCTGAACAACTGAGAGTTGACGTAGTATTTCTGCATATACATTTGTCACATCCTTTTGCCTCTTGGCTAGTGCTGAATCGAGATGGCCATTTAGTCTCCCGGGATTTAGTTTAGGTTAGGTTGTCTGAAAACTGTCTGGAAGGAGAACATAGAACATATTCCTGTGAGCTTTTTAGCTTTTAGATACATTTATTTTCCTCCAAATTATTTATTTTTTTGGTTAGTCTCCTTTTTAATGGCATTTTTGCCAATGGAAATTTCTCTAGGAGCTATTATGCAATCACAGCAGCTGTTTGTAACCTGGTTTGGGAAATTAATGAACTTGCATGATCTTGTGGTCAGTTAAGAATGCCTGAAGCAACTCCTAGAGTAAAGGATTTCTGACATTGCTATGGACCTTAACTCTTTAATCAGCTCCTTTGTTTTTTATTGGCCACACTCCCCCAGTGAAGTATAAATTCCAAGTACAAAATTGTACTTGGAGAGGACAAAGAACATGGATAGAAGAGCGATAGTGTTTTTTGTTTGTTTGTTTGTTTGTTTTTTAATCTCTTGGAAAAAAGCATCTCATAACTTATTTCTGTATTTGAGAAGGCATAGAGGCATTGCATGTATTTCATTTAAAAATAGTATTTGGAAAAAATGCTAAAAAATAACACTTCAGTTCCAAGGTCAAGGAAGGTGAATCTGCTCTTAGTCTAGTGGAAATTTTTTTTTTCTTATGACCAAAGTATTTTGCCAAATTGGGCCTTTTGAAATCATCTCATTGGCCTGATGTGGAGTAGGGAGTTAAGCCTGACACTGCTCTGATTTCTTTATCTCTTCGTTGAGTCTACTGCGTCAGCCAGAAATTCTGTAATACCGTGTATGATGCTCTGCTCTTGGATTTCTGGCTCTGGAATTCTAGTTCTGAACACTCCTGTGCCCCTCTGACTGATAAGAGCAACATGCAGCTGAGTCTCTGTCCCAGGGGCTGTAACACAGGACAACACGGTGGCGGTGGGCTCGCGGATGGGGCCCAGCGAGGCGCCCTACCCCCCCCCCCCCGGACACCCGTATGCTTCCGTTTCCACTGGCCTCTCCATTCTTCCATCCCTCCTTCGGGTCTGATGAGCAATCCGTCGTCACTGAGAGGGTTTTTACAGTTGTCTTTTCCCAATTCCTCTCCCCCTGCCCTCTTCCCACCTCCTTTTCCCCCAGGTAAGCTCGGAGGCCAGGACTCTTTTGAGAGCGTGGAGAGCTACGACAGTTGTGACCGCCTCACCCAGTCCTGGAGCAGCCAGTCCTCTTTCAACAGCCTGCAGCGCGTCCCCTCCTATGACAGCTTCGACTCAGAGGACTATCCAGCCGCCCTGCCCAACCACAAGCCCAAGGGCACCTTCAAGGACTATGTGCGTGACCGTGCTGACCTCAACAAGGACAAGCCTGTCATTCCTGCTGCCGCCCTGGCGGGCTACACAGGTAGGCGCCCTGCCCCCACCTCAGCCGCCTCTGTGTGCTTATTGCCATGGGTGGGTTCAGTAGAAGGCACCGTGTGCATGTCCCTAGAGACTGAAGTCAGCCTCTTTCTTTTTTGAGGGGGAGCTGGGACGAACAAGCCTCTAAGACGTCCGATCCATCTGTCCCCCCATTCTGTGAATAACCATTGACTTTTGGAAGTAAACAGTGTCATTCTATCCCAAGGGATCATTTCCAAGAGTGGTAGGGAAAACTTCTTCCTCAGAGGCATCATGGAATGGCTTACACTCTAGATTGTTCTATAGGGGAGTTCTCAATCGGCTGGCCGTTCAAATGGTAAAAGTGCCCTTGGTCACCCTACGCTGTCCAGATCCTGGCCTCTCTGTTGGGAAACCCTTGCTTTTTTTCTCACTTAGCTCTGTTACTGATTTTCTTCTACGAGTGAATGAAGAAAGAGCATGGGGTGTGGGAGGTGGATATTGAGAGCTTAGGCTTTGATGGAGAATCTGGGTAATCAAACAGTTCATTGTCTGAACGTGTCGTAGCCCACGTGCTGCCTAACCTTGGAGGCTTTTGAAGAGGGTATCTGTGAAATATCCAAGGGACGTTAATGTATTAACTGTCAGATCCTTTCTAGAAGACTGTAGTGTTTTCTAAGAATTAGAAATTATGTTGCTTGAGTGGAGCTTATTTTAAGATTTGATTACTCTGCTGTGTAGGCCACCATTCTCTTGTACTTGACTCCACCCTGGACAGGTGTACATGGGGCACCCTTCGTGTGGATGGAGGCAAATCGTCATACCTGTGTTTCTAGGGCGGTGCCTGGCTGATCTCAAAAGCGGGCTTGATCCTCATTCTTCTAGCAGGGAACTCTCAGGGTCTTACTAGGGAAGCCAGCTGACCTTTGAGAACGACTCAAAGGCTGAGAAAATTTACTCCACCTTTAAAGTTCAGGAGTGTGTCTTTCGTGCTGTCTATTCCATTTAGCTCCTGGTGCAGTTCCTTGCGTGGAGCGGTGGCCAGGAATTATTATTTCTGTGTTTTAAGGTAGCAACAAGGTCTATACAGAGTCAGGACCCAGAAAGGCACCCTGTTCTTTCTATGGTAGCTTCCCACAGTCTTTGCTTGAATGTCACTAGCATGTGGAAAAGTGCTGCTTTCCAAGGGAGTCCTCTCCCATCTCCAGACAGCAGACTGTTAGAAAGTTTGCCCCTTTCCATTAATGACTTCTGGAATGAGGAAAAGTGTATTCGAGGTGTATATTCAAAAAATATACTCAGCCTCTTTCAAGGTGTATGAGAGTGCTGGCTCCTGTAGTCTCAGCTCCCGGGTATTTTAAGCCCCGGACTCCAGTTGGATACTGAGGAAGGAGTGGGGAGTCATGCAGCTTAATTAGGAGGAGAAAGGAAAGACCCAGGAACCTCCAGCATGACTGTGTGGGCTTGGGAGGTGGCGGGGTCTCTAGCTGGTCACGCTTGCTTCTGTTCTCGCGGTGCGGGGAGATCCGTGCTCTGCCGTTTGCCGAATGTAAAGGCCAGCCCTTCTTCGGCCTCAACCCTGACCTTCCGGTACCAAGTCCTGAACTTAGTTTCCCCTCGCTGAAGGTGTTTCTGTATTCTCTCTGGCATAATCACCCTTCTCACCACCAGCATCCACAGTCCATGTTTCTCCTGTGGCAGTTTTCATCAGTCTGTCTTCGGTAGGTATGCGATCATGAAAACTTGGCTTGGGAGGGTGGGAAGGGTGGGAGCCCTTCATGGGATAAGATTCTGGTCGGGATCTCTGGCCGTTGCGCAGATCTAGGAGTTTCTGGGAGGGGTGGCAGCTCGATCTCCGCCTCTAATAGAAACCCCTCTGAAAGTGTTACATGTCTTAGTTATTGGATTTCCTGTGTGGGAGAAGCCTGCCGAGCTAACAGTCTACAAGAGTGACTGAAAGGGTTTTGACTGAGATGATCTTAGTACCTCGAAAGAATTACCTGAGAATCTTTCCAAGTGTCCCTGTTTCAGGGAGAGACAGGAAGGGATGAACTGTGAATTCAGAATGAATATGAAATACAAATTAGAGACATGAGCTGCCATCGAGATAGCCCAGCATCAGCCGGCTGCCCGCGAGGCTTCCCTGGAAGTCCAGCTCAGAGCCAAATAGATAGGAGCATCAGAAAGTTCTTTCAGCAGAAATACAGGTGTGCTCTGGAGGTCTGAGTTATGGCTGACGTCACCCCTGATTTGGATGGATTTTTTTAAATTATTTTATTTTAGAGAAAGAGAGAATGTGTGCAAGAAGGGGGAGGGGCAGAGAAAGAGAGGGAATCCCGAGCAGGCTCCACGCTCCGCATAGAACCTGACATGGGGCTCAATCCCACGACACCCTGGGATCATGACCTGGGCTGAAATCAAGAGTTGAACGCTCAACCAACTGAGCCACCCAGGCGCCCCTGAGTGGGTTGTTTTTAAAAGGTGCTCTTGCTTTCTTCCTTCTTTTCTCTCTCTCTCTCTCTCTCTCTCTCTCTCTCTCTCTCTCTTTCTCTAAGGGAGTATAACACCCAGTGAGTGGAAGAAGAGGGAAGGTGACTGTCAGTTAAAGGCCTCGAAGACTAAAGCAGCCGCTTGCATTTAAAAGCACGTTTTAAGCATCTCACCGTCCAGTTTTGCTTTATGACTGGGGATACAGCTTTTCACCCTGTCTCATATGGTGGTGAGAACAATAGCCCAGAAAACAGAAGTCCCCTGGGCTGCCCCCCAGCTCTACCACACTGTGTGATTTTAGGCAAATTTACCTTGTACCCTTTTCTACTTTTAGTAAAGTGGAAGGTGTTCATCCTTATCTTGGTGGTGGGAGATCTGGGCAAATGTAATTGCACTAAATCAGTTAACGAAGCAAAGGAGTGCTAGGCATGATATTAAGCATGGGGGGTGTGGGTTGGGAGCTCAGTTGTAACAAACCAGTTGTTCCAACAAATGTTTCTGAGCACTGTTGAGTGCAGATAAGGGCCAGGAGTAGCCCTTGAGGGTTCATGATCTTGTCGAATTCGTGTAGTGAGAATTGTCCTTAGACTTGGACTAGATTTTTTCTTCTTGCTGTGGTCTGCGTGAAGGTCAGGATTCGTTAGGCGTGTGGGGGGGGGGCAGCCCAAATTTTGGGGACATTTTTCCTGGGCTCAGTGCTTGGTGGAGATCTGTCCACACTGCAAACGAATGCTCTGTGGTGGTTCCCTTGCCCTTGCCCGCTCATTGTGGTCCCGTATCATTTCAGGTCCACTCTAGGGGATGGGGAAGGGGATGGAACATACCTGTTCAGCCCCCTCCGCCAGCCGCAGGGCGTGCACGTGCCTGGGATTCCTAGAGATGGGGCTCTGGCCTTATGCAGACGTGTTAAGATGAGCTGAAGTTTGGAAGAGGTCTTTGGCAAGTGGAAAGCGTTGTATGAGTGTTGGCAAACTTTCTATTGCCTGTTAAAGTCACACCTATTTTCTCTCTCCTTTTTTGTTCATTCCCTTAAAATTCTGTTACTCCAGAGTATGTGTGGCCACACAGGAGGAGCCGTGTTCGTTTCCATCACCAGTACTTGGCTTCAGCTAAAGTGTGTATGTATACGTCCTCCGAGCTGGGAAGAGAGTCATTTCCCTGCCATTACGCACAGGGAGCTTGGGTCTTTGTCTCTATCACCTTCAAAGGACTGCATTTCACTTCTTCATGTGATGTCTTAGTTACTGCACTGTACGTGTGGAAATCAGTTAGAAACTGAATTTTCACATTCTCTTGCACTGTTACATTCTTCCTCCGAAGATAAGAAAATTGCATCAACCTTCACTGGGCTCCCATGGCAACTTGTTAAATTAGGTCAAGATGTGGGGGCAGATAACGTGGCTTGAAAGGCTGCCTGTTAGCTGAGTTCAGAATACATCAAATGCAACGCTGGCTTCCGCCAAAATGTACCTTCTTACCTTACTGTGAACTGCTTACGGTTATCAAACTGATACAATCAGAAAGCTCCATTTTCTCTTGTTTGAAGATACATTATGAACCCCGTCCAATTACAAAACAATCTGAGAGAAGTGGCCCAGTGTTTTCCTATCTGTTTGGTAGACCTAAGCAAAATGCTTCCCAGATCCCTGAAAAACATAGCAGTCTCGGATTATTTTTTCAATTGCAGTGGCTACAGAGGAGCATTCTGTGCTGTCAAATAGTGTTCTCTCTTCCTCTGGCCCCATTTTGTAGATGAGGAAACTGAGGCACAAAAAGTGACCGCGTCATTGCCACGTGCCCAGAAGTAGCTCCCGAATTGAACCTCAAGTGCCAGTTGTCTCACTCACCTGTGCAGTCCCTGTCCACGTTAAGGAACGAGAAGACTCATTGCTTACCTCAGTTGCTTTCCTACAGTAGATTAGAGACCTCGTCTCCCGCTTGTTACCGCTTAGCACCACACGTATACTGGTTGGGGCTCTTTGGAGGACATAATGCTAGCCTTTGGCTTCAGTCTAGAGTCGTTGGCCTGCAGGTCACCTTTGATCGAACTTCATTCCGGATGGCCAGACATTATGCCAGATAAGGCACCCTTCCTATCACTGTTGCTTCTTGAGCGAGCCTGGCGGCGATGCTGTTGTTGTCCGGTGCCTGGGTATGTCCCCACCCAGAGTTGCAATTGTGAATGAAGTGGTGAAGGTCTCTTTTTCATCCTGAAGGCTGAAAAAGGCTGAGCCCAAAGCCGTTCGTTAACTTTCGTTTCGTTAACCGTAACGAAGTGATGGAGTGCTCTGCAGATTGGTGAAAATACAGTCCCTCATTTTCCTTATGGCTAAATGTGGGAGTGTCGGGAGTTCAACTTTCAAATACTTTTGCATGAGACATCACCAAAAACAGGAGTCCTAGCCTTGTAGAAAACGAAGCCCCATGCAGTGCATTCCCCTGGAACCCTCTCGAACTGCTTCTGGACTGAAAGACTTCTTGCCGTGTCATAGATGGCCCTGGAGCCAGTCTAGAGTCCTACAGTAAGAAAGTCCCTAGGCCAAGCCCAGAACCTTGGAGTTCTGGCTCACAGTTGAGTTTTAGGGTTCAGTAACCCAAAGCTACTGCTAAAACGTGTTTTTGAAAATAAACAACTTCACTGCAAAAGGAAGTGCTTCAAAGCCCTTCGATTCAGAATGAAACCCGAGATTTGGCAGTGTTACCTGAAATCGGAGTTTTCTGAAGGAAAACGGGATTGCAAAACAATCTCAAGGTACTCAGGTACAAACAGCAACCCAGGAAACCTTTGGGATAAGCCCAAGTTACCGATAAGGAAAGGGGAGAGGGGTCACCAAAGCAAATTCCTAGTGCGGCGGGACTTTGTGCGGGAGATTTCTACAATTCTGAATCCAGACGGGTATGTTATTAGGAACAGCATAGAGCTTTTTAATTTGGGGGTTAGGGGAGGGATAACTACCGAAGCCACGCTCTGGAATATAGTCTCTGGGCGAAGGCCATCAGTGTAAGAGTGTGTGCATGGGCTGTAGGTGAGAAGAAACAACTCGTGGACTTGAATATAGAACTCTGGTCCCCATTTCGGGCAGTGACTGCCTTCTCCAGGTGCCCTGAGGTTCTGGGGGCAGGCAAAGCTGGAGCTGGCCCGCAGGCTTGCAGGCGGCCAACCACAGTCTCAGTGTAGAGCATCCTTGGGTAGCACCTGAATGGGCAGGAGGAAGCGAGCTCAGAAATGAGAAAGGCAGCAACAGAGAGTGTCTCCTCTTTCCGGTTCAGAGGCCCTGTGATGAGCAGGTTGCAGGAAGCCAGGCAGACACCCCCCCTTGGCCTAAAGCGGGGCATTGCTGCCAGCCAGCATCTCAGAAGCCGGGCAGGATTCTGATTCTCTGTGCTGTGTTTCGCGGTGGGTCCTGGGTTGGGGGAGGGGTGCGTGGAATGGTTTGGGGGGAGGCTTCTCCCTGGAGTAATGGGTTAACATGCCGCTCAGTTAGGAGACTGACGGGGAAACACCGTGGGTCATGGGGGAGGGAAACTCCTTGGGAAATTTGAACTGGAGGAGAGAGGTCCCTTTCTCTGGTCTGCAGGGCCCTTTTCCTGCTTCTGCCCCCTGATTCACTTTGTGGTAGTTCTTCGTAATCATCTGACACGAGTAGAAAAGGATCACAGGGGAGCGGGATTCGGCTTCATTATTAATTTTCTTTTTTTCTAAATGTCTTTAAAAAAAAAAACGTGGAAAGGGAGGCTCCCTGTTTCCGCCAGTTGTTGATGAAGGCCACAGCTGACTGAGCCACGTCCTCGCCTTGATTCAGCTGCAGTAATACCTTGCAAGCTGTCTTTGCCCATTTACCCTTCACACGGTGTGCCCCAGTCCCTGGTGCCGTCCCCAGCTACCCGAGGCCGAGCGGGTACCCGGATTTTGGACGGCAGGCGACTTGCAAGTTGACCCCTCTGTTTTGGGGACGGCCCCCCCTGCCCGTTTTGGAGGAGTCCCGAAGTCTCCGATTTTGTGGGTCCCTGTTTCTTTAACAAAAGCTAACTACAAATGATGGAATTGGGTGGTGACTGTTCTGGAATTCCTGCTCTGTCTCCAGTTTGAGGCTCCACCTTTCTGGTCTTTGAAGTAAAATGTTTCCACTGAGCAGAAGTCAGCCAGCACGCTGCTGCTGAGGCATCCACACAGGTCCTCGCTGCCTTCAACCAACAGGCCTTGGAAACTCCCCGCAGCTTCTGTTGGGAAAGGCCCTGCCAGGCGTCCCAAATATTCCTGCTTTTGCCCCTTGGCATCTTTCTCTTTTCCTTGGATGGCTGTCACTGCTCTGGAGCATGAGCAGTGAGTGGTTCCTTGGTATAGAGACTCAGTTCAAGAGCAGCTGTACCCCTTCCGTTTCTCCCTAAGGCGACTTCCATGTGACACCCCCAGGTTGGTAGGTCTGTCACTTGGGAATGCCTTCCCATTTCAGTCCAGGCAAAACGCCCAAGAGGGAGGCCTTCCTAGGCTGTTTAAGCCCTGGTTATGTTTCATGGAGACGTCAAGAGCTGGACTCGGCCGCCGGTCGGCCTGCGTGTGTGCCAGCTTTGCCACTGACCGTGTGTGACCTCAGGCAAGCAGACGTCCCTGTACCTCAGTTTTCTCATCTGCGAAATGGTAGCAGTAATAGTTATGGTCTCATAGGACGGTTGTGAGGATGGAAGGAATCGTTTGGGGAAAGCGTCCAGAAGCCTTGCTAGGTACATAGCAGGTTACCACTGTTCCATATCATCCTGCAACTTCTGTCTTTCCGGTGTAATTCTGTATTCCTTGAGGCCAGAGATTAATGTATTTTATTTAGAGAATTCCAGTAATTGGTGGCAGTGACTTAGGGCACGAAAGATACTTAATATCAGATTAGGTCATTCTGGCCATTCAGCTCAAACCACCTGTGCTAAGCTCCTACTGTGCACTCGTCTCTGTCATGGACATTACCTTTTTTGAACTGTCACCAACCACCGCACCAGGTAGGTTCTGTGAGTCTCACTGTACGAATGAGGGAATCGAGGTTCAGAGGGGGAAAGAGGTCTAGCCCAACGTCGCCTAGAAAACCACAAAGAAGATGCCTTTCAAAGTTTTTCACGGTGTCGGGCGATTAGTAGGAAAAGATCCACTCTTAGTGGCCGGGTTAGTGTCATTCTGGGTCTGCTAAGACGTAGATGTCAAGACGGGATTAGACTTGCAAGAAATGTCTTGGTGTGTGAGGGAGGTCCATGAAGGACAAAGTGGGGGACAGCACGGGAAGGCCGGGGAGCTTTTAGACCAGGCTGCAGGGCTGACACCTGTAAAAGGAGAGAGGGAGGGCGGATTTGGGTGGGGAAGAGCCTCCATGAGTGGCTCAGTGCCAAGAAAAGTCTGGTCGGACTCCTGGGGAATCTTCATGCCAGAGTCGCCCAGCGGAGCAGCTCTGCGTCCCCCAGGAATGAACTTCATGCCTTTGGGGAGCGGCCCCAGATAGTGTGGCCTCAGCGGGGACGTGGTGGATCCCGTCACTCCTGCTGCCTGCAGTCGGAGGTCTGAGTAGCACCTTGTCACGGCTGCTGCAGGTCTGCTGACCGGCCACATCAGCCCTCACCGACGAACACGGGTTGTCGGGTAGGCCAGCGCGGCAGGACTCAAGGCCACGGTCCTGGTGCTCTTGGTGGCCCACGATAGGCTTCAGAGCTCTGTGCCTGTTGTTGCCCTCAACAAAGCAAAAATGGCATTGTCTTCTGTGTGACTCACCTCTCCCTGAGAATCACAAGAGTGAAAGTGGTCCTGAGTGAGTGAATGTGAAACGTTGACGGGAGGCCAGGGCGCTCCTCGCTGGAGAGGTGCTCGCAGGGTGCAGCTCTGTGGAGGTGGTTGACATTCAGAGCCGAGGTGGGTGCAGTTTCTCCGGCAGGGCCCCTCAAGGCGAGGCTCTCGGTCCTTTCTTCTTTAAAGGCAAAGCGTAGGTAGGACACAGCCCATCACACGATGGCGGAACAAAATGCGTTCCTTTGTCTACCTCCTCACTGTTGTTCACGTTCTGTTTGCTACCCAACCCGGTCTGGCTACCACACCTTACATCTGAGGGGCGTTCGGTGGTTGATTGCTGGATAGAATTGAAAAATTCGGTGCTTCGATGGTCCCTTGGGGTCTAGCTCACCTCCCCGAGAATTCTAACAGACTTAGCCGGTCATTTCGTCGCATCCTGGACACGCAGGGGGGGCTTTGCTGCTAGGAGAGAATAAGTTCCAGAGATTGCCCTCCGCCCCCTGAGAAGCACGGGCGCCCGACTCCTCCAATTCTGTGTTCTAATCCTCATCGGTGAGCACACCTTTCTTTCTTCCTGTTGCCCAGATACATCATTCGGGAGGCATTTTCTTTTGACATTTGCATTGGTCCCACAAAGCATCTCTTGGGTTTCTAACAAGATTCTCACCCCGTACCCTCAAATCCAAACCCAGCCTGTTTCTGGGGACTTTGTAAAAGAGTCCGTTACCTAGAAGACATCAGGAGGAAAAGCTCTGAATAACCCACTTCCTGACTCGAGCTTCCCCCTCTCTGTGTCCGAGTCTGTGTGTGAGCGGTGGGTCGAGTATGGTCAGGGCCCTTGGGTCTGGTGGCAGGAGTGGCTGTATTTGAATATAGGCGGCCCCTTTAAGAGAAGACCCGTCTCCTTTCTCCTTCCACCCCCACGCAGGTGTACTTGAGCACATGCAGGTGTGAGGAGCCCAAGCAAAAACAAGGGTCTTTCCTCTACACCCTAAAGCGTGTGACTGTCTCGTTCTCAGGACCGAGACAGACTCGCCCGGGAGCCTTGCCGACGTCTGTCGCCACCTCGGCTTGCCCCCCGGTCTGTCTTGCACATGGATGAGCTGGACAGGACTTTCTGCTTTACCTTCAGGTCATGCTCATGAGATCCGCCTCCGGGCCCGACCCACCGACATCTGTGGGCAGTGCTGCTGAATTCCTAGGTCAGCCCTACAAAATAAGTAGGCGGAGCGTGCTTTGTGAGGAGCATAAATGATTAGGGAAAAAAAGCACACTGGGGGAAAGAGGATCTAAGTCTGTCTGTGGCCAAGATTTCCCCAAACCATAAATGTGTGTGATACTTTCACTTGCAAAGCAGTATGCATCTGCTCTTGTCTGTGCGCACCTACTTTGAATCAGAGCAAGAGCTTCACAGAGTAATCCCTAACTTTAGCAAATCTTCACGGGTTGTTCTCATGTGCAGTATCTTTTAAAAATCACGCATTTATATACTTGAACCTTCCTTTCAGCCTGCCGCTTCCTCCTTTTCCAAGCTTGCCATGTAAAAGGCCGGTTTAACTCTCGGAAGAATAGTTGAGTTTTATCTTGTGCTTTGCTGTGTGTGTGTGTGTGTGTGTGTGTGTGTGTGTGTGTGTTTATTAATTTCATCTTTTTTGCTTGTCTTTCTCTGAAAAGTCTGTTTTTAAAAATATATGTTCTAGGGGAACCCAGGGTAGCTTAGTCAGCTAAGCGTCAGACTCTTGGTATTGGCTCAGGTCATGATCTCCCTGTTCGTGAGTTCGAGTCCCCACTTGGGGTTCTCTGGGGATTGCTTCGGATTCTCTGTCTCTCTCTGCCCCTTCCCTGCTCATGTGAGCATGTGCTCTCTCACAAAATAAAAAAATAAACTATAAAAATATATATATTTTTGCTGTGTTGTTCTTCTGTTTAATGCCACTGCTGTGTTTTATGTTGTTCCCAAACTGTTCAGTATTGTGGTCACCTCTTTATGTACATACATAATATGTGTGTGTATTTATATTTCTGTATTTCTTTTTTTTTTTAATTTTTTTTTAACGTTTATTATTTTTGGGACAGAGAGAGACAGAGCATGAACGGGGGAGGGGCAGAGAGAGAGGGAGACACAGAATCGGAAACAGGCTCCAGGCTCTGAGCCATCAGCCCAGAGCCCGACGCGGGGCTCGAACTCACGGAGCGCGAGATCGTGACCTGGCTGAAGTCGGACGCTTAACCGACTGCGCCACCCAGGCGCCCCTATATTTCTGTATTTCTTAATAACAGGAACTTAATTTATGTCTTTATAAAGTAGGGAGGAGCAGGGATAGCTGTTTCCATTTTAGAGATGGGAAAACTAAAGCCCAGAGAGGTTCAGTTAGCTGCATAAGATCGTGCCAGTGAATCAGGGAAGTGCCGAATGCTTGAACTCCCCACTTGGGGCATCCCATGGGCATATGTTATGTATTTTTTAATTTCGTAGGATGCTCTCTGCTCTCCTCTCTCGGTTCGCCACCGCCTGACACGTTTGTCTGTTTTTAATTTTTTGAAATTCTCCTTTCTTTTGGTCTCACGTGCCAGAGACATGGACTTGACATCAAAGGCTGGTTTTAATTGATTTGAGAGCGGTTTTCTAACTTGCTTCCATTGTTAGGTACCGGCTCTTTCAGCAATAAAGTTCACGGAGTTACTGTGCGTTATGTTCGTGGAGTGTGTGTTTCCAGCCCCTGTCAGAGAGTGTTCTTTGTGCTTGTGCGTTGAATTATTAGAATTTATATCCCCCAACTGCTGTCCTTGAATTTCTAGGCACTGATACGGGAACTCACTGATAGAACATGTGATTCATTAAACCAAGGCATTGTTGGCGAGTTATAGAACGTACCATATCTAGATCATGTTGGAGGTGAGATGCGATCGGGTTGGGGTTGGGGGGCAAGAGATGGGCGTAACTCAGAAAAAAAAAGGGGAAAAGATACCTTTTTTGGACAGAAAGCCAAGCCAAAATATCAAGCAATCTCTGCCCTTCCTTTTCTTTTAAAAATCTTCCCGGTGCTTTGATTGTCAAACAGCCTAGCAGTTATTCATCCTCAGGCAGAAGATGTCTGCTGCCTCAGGTGGCGTTGGGTCCAGGGAGCAAGAAACTTGTCAGGATGTTTCCTGGTCATTCCTCAACTTCATTTCGTAAGGACTTCGTGGAAATAGAGACATTTTGGAATCTTTCGTGAACGAGAGCTTAGAAGGGGGTTGACAGGAAGGGGTGTGCTGCTTAGGCTCTGGGGTCACCCCGTCTGCTGCCAGAGGTGGGCACCTTTACAGTAGTAGGAGAGGAAGATAAGACTTGTGAACAGATGGGTCATTTCTGGATTTGAGGGTTCTGTTTTTGCCATCATCGTTTGGCTGTGGGTAGACACACCTGGGTGGAAGGGAGGGGCCCATCAGGCCCGTTCCTCTGTTTTAGGACCACCTGCCAGATGTGTGTTCTTAGGGCAGAGTCTGCCCTTTTGCAAGGGTGACCAACCATGAGAGTTTCATAGGTTAAAATAAATGTGGTGTCCTGCCCACACTGAGGTATTTGATTTGACTTTTAGAGTCAAGCTGAAGAGATTAACTTCTCAAAGTAGCAAATGAATCCCCAAAGGGCAGGCGGTGTGGTCGTTTTTATTTTGGGGAACATGTTGATGAAACAGCCCAGGAGTCACTCATGTTGATTAGTCCCAGATCTGGTTTAATAGAGAGAAGCAGGTGGGGTGGTTTTTAAGATCCTTACCCCTTTCTTCAGAGGACGATTGTTTGAGCAGTACCAGTCAGTAAATGTTTACTGAGCGCTGGTCAGAGAAGCCATACCTGCCATCGAGAAAATAAGGATCAACGAGGGGTAGTCCGTGCGCACAGCGAGCCAACAACTGGGGTCATTCGGCAGCAGGTAGCTTTTTGATTGTCGGTATTTGCCGGTGAGGCACCATCTAGGCTTTGGATTGCAGCAGTGAAGAAGCACAGTGTGTGTCCTCAGAGCATATATTCTAGTGATGAGAGAGATGGGCGTGGAGCTGATGGCCTTGGTATAAATACACCATAATGGACGGCTATCAGACAGAGCGACTGCTCTGTGCTGACCTCTGTCTGCATGGAAAGCAGCTCTGATATGTCAGCCTCGTGCTGGGGCGCAGATGACAGGGTGAGACCTTGCGGGGGCAATGAAAAGGAAAAACTCAAGTCCAATCCTGGGCCCTGTTCGCTAGCAGTGAGTCCGTTGGGCAGATAGCCCCCAAAGCTAGAAAATGAGAAGAAATCGACTGACAGATTGGCAGATGGAAGGCATTGTTACCAGGAGAATCTTACTGAAATTTGGTCCTAGCCCACTGCCGTATATCTAAGTCGCTCACTTCTTGGGGCGCCTGGGTGGTTCAGTCGGTGAAGTGTCTGACTTCGGCTCAGGTCGTGATCTCGAGGTTTGTGAGTTCGAGCCCCGCGTCGGGCTCTGTGATGTCAGGCTCGGAGCCTGGAACCTGCTTGGGATTCTGTGTCTCCCCCCTCGCGCTGCCCCTCCCCCCCCGCTCACGCTACGTCTGTCTCTTTCTCAAAAACAAATAAACATTAAAAAAAATTGCAGTTGCTCACTTCTTAGACTCAGAGTAAGGGAACAACAACAACAACAACAACAACAACAACAACAAAAATAGAAGGGGATTTTTAACAACCAGCCCTCATCAAGATACGTGGCAGGCCTTCCAGTTCCTAGACAAGGAGAAGGGACTTAACACATCACCAGAATGAGTAGGAATTTACTCGAAGCTGTACCTCAAAAAATTGTAGATTGGCGCCTTGGATTTGAAGTAAGCCTTGAGGGACCCCACCTGATACCTCTGCTTCGAAGATCGTATCACATTCTTCACATCAGGACTGTCACTGTTGTACCTTCCTCTGGCCCAGAAGCTGAGAAGAACAGAGCAGTGTGAGGAACTGAGGAAATCCCCCTGATGCAGCCAGCGAGGGAGCTGGGGGGTGTGCAGGCCCCGCGAGAGCGTGTGTGGGGCCCTCCCTCCTGCACTTCTTTGCCGAGAGCCTCCCTTCTAACAGGGACCCCTCTGTTGTTGTGGCTGAGAGTCTCTACTTGAGAAGCATAGTTTCCCAGTGATGCCACCGGATTCCTGATGTGTGACACCCCAGGGCAGCATGGTGAAGGACGCCGTTGACTGCCTTGGGGGCCCCAGACAGGGACACCATTGTGAGTCACATTGAGTCTGTGAACTCCCCCTTCCCATGACTGGTACTATTCTTAGCACCATCCTCTGCTCCCTGGGACAGAGGTCACTGGGAGCACCTTCGAGTTGGGTGGGTGGATGGGGCTGGGCCCGGGGTGAGAGGAGATGCAAGATGGGCAGAGCTACGCTAAGCAATACAGAAATGTCCTGTGGGAGGTGTGTCTCTGGGAGCGCTGGCCTCCTTGCAGCATCTCAACCACTGTGGGGCCTCAGCAGTTCCCCAGGGCCTAGATGTGGATGCTCTTGGCAGGGGGCCACCATGCATTCCAGCCCTAGAGCTGCCTTCCTCAGGTGGCCCTCCTTCCCTCCTTCCCTCAGGTGGCCCTGCTGTGCCTGCCCAGATCTGAAATGAAGGTGACACGTGGTTGTGGAAGCAAGCTCCTGTGTTAAGTCTGGCCGCTGGTTCCGGCCAGGGAACGAACCCCCCCCCCCCCCCCCCGCCCCGAGACCAGAATGCTTGCCCTGACCAGGCGTTTCTAGCCGGAAGAATAATTCTGCATCCTTCCTCTTTATGGCTCCTGGCAACCAAAGGGCAGTTTGGGAATTAGCAAACAGGAGGAACCTTGCGGGGGGTGGGTGGGTGGGGTCTCCTGGATTCCTTTCGTTTGGTACCACGCGCGAGCCTTCCGAAGGGGGAAACAGCCACTCCAGGAAAGCCACGGCGAGAAGGCTGTGTGTGCCTATCGGTGCTGGGTGGGCTTATACGATCTTTCTCCCAGAGTCGGGGGAAGGAGGCTTGAGCTGACATCACCCTGTCTTGACTTCCTTGCTGTGACGTCCCCCAGAGACATTTCTCCTCATTCGAGTGTCTGTGCTGTTGTTAGACATCTGGTTTACCTCTTTACGCTCCCTTCTTCCCTTTAGTGTAAAGACAAAAGAGAAGTTTGAGAGCCCCTCCCCTACGACCTGGGCTCCGCGTTCCTAAATGTGTCAGTTTTGTATTCCTTGTGAACAGAGGAAAACTCACAATGAGCAAAAGAGGAGACCCGCGGATAAGAATATACCCTGCCCACCACCCAACCCGGCCGTTATATGCAGACGGGGGTCAAATGCACACAGAGAAAGAGCTGGAGCAGGCATATAGAACCCGCGCCTCTGACATTTCAGTTCGGGAAATGGCCCTGCCAGGAAAAACAGCAATAATAATTCTGTCTGACGTCCCTGCCTCTGAGCTGGTTCCACCGACGTGACTTAAACTCCCCCTTTGCACTTTCTGGCTGCCCCATCTCAAGGGCGAGGGACTGTGGTATGTTCTCTGGGACCTGGAACAGGCTAGCGGCTCCCTGCCAATGACTAGGACTTGCCTGGGTAGAAGTAACCTGGTATGTCCTTCCTTTCCCTTCCTCAGCTTGGTGTGACTGGCCCTTCACTCCCCAAAGGGATGTTAAGATGAGCAGTGTGAAAGAGGTTTGGAGGCAACCGAGGGAGGGAGGGATAGCGAAGTAACATTAGCCTAGTAGTTACCGGGAGGGGGACTGACTCGCTGGGCTGGAAATACCACCTGTGGAGGTGAACACCAAGGTCACCAATGGTCAGATCGTCTGGAGAACCACTGGCCGTCCAGTGTCTTGTGTCTGCCGTGAAAGGTGAGGAAGACATATATATATATATATTTTTAAAAGCTATGTCCTTTTATCATGTGGTCATCTCAACCAGCCAGGCTGATTAGATGCCAGCCTCTGGGTTGTTTTGTCTAATGGCAAAGCAGCGCCGAGGCAAAGGGGTTTGGAGTGCCAGACTGCCTGGGTTCCACTCACGGCCATTTTACTTCTGAATGGCCTTGGACAAGGCCAGTGGACACAAGCCGCACAGTGTAGCAGTTTTCCCTGTCGTAAAAATGGTAAAAGCAAATTTGGTAATAGTATCTACTCCCTGGAGTGATTGTAAGGAATAAATGAGATCAGCATAAAGCAGCAAACGTAGTATCGTGCATAGTAGGTGTGCAACAGCTTAACAGCTCTCGCTTGTAGCTTTTTCTGTCCAGGGTCTCGAAGCAACTCCTGTCTCTGTCTTGTGTTCACATTGTGTGGGTCTGGCCCAGGAGAGGGCTGCAGACTCCAGGGCTCATTCGCCTAGCTTTGGAGTAGTTGACTTTTCCTTTGTTATATCTCTCTTCAAAATAAGAGGAAGACAGCGGTGTCCTGTTGCGTATGGAGCCATTCTGCACCTCTTCCAGAAATCTGTTCTTTTGCAAGGATTCTGAAGTTCTTCACTACCAGAAATTCCATAGCATTTCTTAACAGAGGTTTGTTCACTTAATGCCTGTCCACCAGGATGGCTTCTCAACGGATTCCTCATATAATGTCACATCTCAGCCCGTGAGCCCAGGCAGGCAGTGGTAGCCAGTAACTTGAACTCCCCTCCCAAGAAAGTTGCAAATGTGTCCGAGTTGCATCCGAAATGGTGTTTTAACAGCACAGGGAAACAGGAGAGGCTAAGGCTTTACCAGTGTCACACTCTGGGCTGTTTGTTTGAACGTCCGGTTATTTTGTAGGGCCCACTGAGTCATTGTATTCTAGAACCTGCATAAGGTGTCACTTGCAGGATGGTTTTAAAGAGCTCCAGGTGCATTCTTGGAAGGATAAGGCAGAGCTGTTCCATCTTCTATATTTAGCCTGGGCTGTGCTGAGGAGACTGAGACTCGCCCCCCGCAGGCCGTTACTGGGGTGGGGGGGGGGGTGGCCTTTTCTTTGGTTGCTTAATAACAGTCCATGCCAGTCGCTGTCGCCCTGGTACTTGGAGTGAGTCTGCAGGCCAGGGCGTTAGACCCCGCACCACCATTTTCTCACTGTGCCCTGGAGCAAAGTCACATCGCTTTCTTGAGCATTTTTCTTTCTCTGCCTTAATAGGATGGAAATAGTAAGACCTGTTGTGCCTCGCCTATAGAGAGAGCCGGGGGACAGAGTTTAGGAGTAAGCAAAATGATGCGTGTGAACATACCTTGTAGAAGTATAAGGCATAACAAGAGATCACCCTTCTAGATCATAAAGAGCGTTGCCTTTTTTGACAGAGAGAACCTAAAGCTTGTTTTCTATTGAATCTCACTTTACTTTGGATCAGATGAATCTGAAGCTCAGATTAAGGATGAGGGCCTTAGAAAGTCAAGTTTTTCTGTATGAGTTAGAGTGTCCCTGGCTTCCTTCATCTGCACAGACTGGGTCTTTCCCAGCCCTGCTCTGCCAGATGGCTTCTAAGATGGTGTTGTGAGTGTAGACATATAACAAGCAGCAGAAACAATTGAACCCATATCTGTTTCTTTGGCTACACCCATAAATTAGATAGGAATCACTGGCAGCATTGTCATATCTGAATAGAAAGTGATCTTAAAAGGAAATCTATCAGGAGAAGTCCTTTAGCGTAAGATAAATTGAGTATCAGAGTATGCCTTGGCTTTTGATAGAACTAAGATCTTGGCAGTGTTGATGGCTAAGATAAGAGGGGTGTGTGTGTGTGTGTGTGTGTGTGTGTTTAAGTTAGAGTATACTATGGGGCACCTGGGTAGCTCAGTCGGTTAAGCGTCCGACTTCAGCTCAAGTCATGATCTCACAGCTCATGAGTTCGAGCCCTGTGGCAGGCTCTGTGCTGACAGCTCGGAGGCTGGAGCCCCCTTCGGATTCTGTGTCTCCCTCCTTGTCTGCCCCTCCCCCGCTCATGCTGTCTCTCTCTCTCTCTCTCTCTCTCTCCCCTTCAAAAATAAATAAACATTAAAAAAAAATTAAGTTAGAATATAGTGAACCCATGAGGAATTTCTGAGACAGTCCTCACCTCACCTGTGAGGATTTCATGGGTGGCAGGTTAATCACTTACAAAGTAATGATGTTCTCTTTTCTTAGTTTGGGTGCCTGCCAGTGGCCTGGAGGAACAGGATGGTGGTGGAGAATATTATGACTTTATGACTAAAGAATATCTAACTTCTGTGTCCTTGTTAGATGGCCCCAGGGTAGCAATCCTTGTCACTTACAAATCAGGGGCCAAGAGCTCTCAGTTACAGAGAAGTGTTTATGAGCTCTGACTTCAGATTAGAACTGGCAAAGATATTCCTTAGTTAATATCCTTATTACGAACTAAGGCAAAAATAATGACTTGGTTCTTGAAGGCAGAGAAGATTGTGCTGCCTGAGGATATCTCAGAGGATAGATCCAGTATTTTCTTTCTAGAGTTTGTGTAGCAACAAAAATGGACTGACCTTTAAGCCAATCAAGATGAGATTGGTAAGACCATGGTATACTATGTGTGGTTTTTTGTGTTTGTTTGTTTGTTTGTTTTTGATAGAAAGTTTTTCACCTTTCCATCCATTTGAACTCTTAGCACCTCCTCCAACACTTGTGCTATATGTTGCCTCCATTCTCTCTAGGCTGGATGGACTGGAGAGGAGGCAAGAGGGACACGTAAAATGGGATTCATTGCTGGCAGTGCTGAGCATCTGGTGTAATGATTCACAATGCCTTGTGTTTCCAGGCAGTGGACCAATCCAGCTGTGGCAGTTTCTTCTGGAATTACTCACTGATAAATCCTGTCAGTCTTTTATCAGCTGGACCGGAGATGGCTGGGAATTCAAGCTTTCTGATCCAGATGAGGTATGAAGGAATCGACTTGTGAGGACTCCTGTTGAGGGGGAGGAAGGTGAACTCTGGAAAGTGGTTATGTGGGCCTGCATGACCTGTCCTAGGATTCCAGTCCCACCTCTGCCCCTGGGTACTTCGTGACCTCGGTCAGGCCAGTTACGTAGCCTGCCTGAGCCTTAGTGGTATCATTTGGAAAATAGAGAAAATACCCACAATGCCCACTTGCTTTCCAGGACTCACAGATACGATGCACAAGGGGTGCCTGGCACATAGCAGACCCTTCATAAATACGTCTTAGCACGTGTTCTGGCCCTGTGGCTCTGTGAATCTGGAAGGGGTCGGACAATTCAAGAGGTGTTGGAGGATTACTACAGTTCATTCATTCCATTCATTGTTTTATTCGACAAGTGCATATTGAGTGCTTGCTCTGGGCCCACATCAAGAGAGAATCAAAGATGCTGAAGAAGAGAGACGATGGCTGTGCCCCGGCAGACATGAGACATGGTGCCCCCGTAGATAATGGCGCCCCACTACAGGAAAAAGGCTTCCTGTGGATGAAAAGCAGGTGCCCTTTGGATGAAAGGCAGCTTAGTTCTGCTCCAGTCGCTCACGTTAAATTTCACGCTTTCAAAGCAAGGATACTCTGCCAGTAACATAAGGAAAGGAGAGTCTCTAGTGTTGTTTGTCTTTTCTTCCTTTCAGTATCAGGTAACTCTATCACACAGAGATACAGGGTCGGTTGATTTTCATTAGTTTAAAGAATCAACTTGATCACCATTGTTGCCCAGCTCTTGAAAGTGGGAATTTAGAAGAGACAGGTCAGAAAAAAAGATCTTCGGTGCGCAGGAATCTTCATCGGTCCTACTCGAATGTCATGGGTCCCCATGAGTACATATGGAGGCATATAAACACGTCTCTTTGGAATATCCTGTAGGTGTTCACCCGTTTCTCGTCCTTTAATTTCAGGTGGCCAGGAGATGGGGGAAAAGGAAAAACAAACCTAAGATGAATTACGAGAAACTGAGCCGCGGCCTCCGCTACTATTATGACAAAAACATCATCCACAAGACAGCGGGTAAACGCTATGTGTACCGCTTCGTGTGTGATTTGCAGAGCCTCCTCGGGTACACGCCCGAGGAACTCCACGCCATGCTGGACGTCAAGCCCGATGCCGACGAGTGACGGACACCAAAGGGGTCGGGGAACCTCTGCTGAGACATTTCGAAGAACAACCACGTCGGTCGAACTCTTAATTTTTAATTGTTATTCTATTTTTAATTTTCCAGAACTCATTTTTTTACATTCAGGGGTGGGCGCTAAGTGGGCTGCAGCTATAATCAATTGTGCACAGTTGGAATTCCAAGGACGGCCAGGACTTGAGGGGTGGGGGGGGGACAAGAAATTCTTGAGCAAATTTTCAGGAGAGAAGGGTCTTCTTAAGAAGCTTGAAGAATCTGGCTTAAGGGAGGAGACTAATGTGTCCCATTACTTTTAAAACTCATCCGTGAAAACAATGCGTCTCGAGTGGTGGACCTATTAGCAAAAGAAGTTGACACGTCAGGAGTCATGAGACCCATGAGAGACAATTTATTTGCTTTTGTTTTTAGGTCTGGGAGGGCAAAAAAGAGGGAGGTGGGATAAAACATTTTGTTTGGGGGATGCACTAAAAACCAAGGACTATTTACCTTTTACTCTACTTTCAAAACAAAGATAGACTTCAGTGGGGAGGGGCCAAAACTGTTTTTGTGTTAAAATTTTATTTTATTAAATTTTGTGCCAGTATTTTTTTTCTTAAACAATCGTCTTAAGCTCTAAGGTGGTCTCAGTATTGCGGTTTCATGCGAGTTTGTTTTTATTTGCCGACTGAGGATTCTGTCACAGTGAAAGGAAACTGTTTATATAGACCCCACTGGAAACGCAAAGTGCTGTCACTCAGATCGGGGATCCCAGATTCATGTGACTTCTATATGAAGGAAAAAAAAAAACAATGCTGATTTGGGTACAAGGGACCTGTGCATGTGAATTTCATCTGTATTTTAAAAACTGATCACACCCCTCTACTTACTTGTCATTAGTGGATTCTCGGGGTTTGGGCTTAACGTTGAGTTAAGAAGCATTAAGTCTTTGAACTGAATGTATTTTGCCGCCCTGGTTTTGGACCCCAGTAAATGTAGGAGCACTGTTGAAGTCATAGAATGGATATCGAAGGAGGAGGGCTGACTTGGTTCTTAATGGGTTCTATACCTGTAACATACAGAACTTGGAAGAAAAGCTGTGTGCACGGGCATTACCCCTCAGGTCTTAAGAAGTAAGTCCTGAATGCATGTCATTGCAAACCCTACACTTCCTCCTTTATGTCTGATTTTCCCGGCATCCCATACTTACTGCTTACCCCCCCCCCCCGCACCCCCCGCCCCATGACTCAGTAGAGAGAAATGTACAGCTTTCCAATTGGTGAGTGAAAGAGGAATGGCAGACGTGACGTGAGTTGAAGAGTGTCGGACAAAGCCATTTAGACGTACTGAGTTTGGGGAACAGTGGAGACTAGGGTTGCATAGGAGTAAAAATGTGGCTTGGCCGTCTTTGAGAGAAGTACAAGGCTTTCCTTGGAGGAGTTTGAGCTAGTTGAGTCAGACGTCAGGTGAGGCTGTGCATGCAGAGTGAACAGTGCAGACACTAGGAGAGCCCTGTGCTTGGATCAGGGTTAAGTGAAGGGTAATAATTGCAGAAGAGAGAAATGACTTGAAGGCAGAGGAAACATAAGGAAAGGAGCTTGGAAAAATAAGGTGGTCTGTGAGATTCGAATATGCTATACTAAAAACTATAGTTTTTAGCTCCTCCAAAGTTTAACAAGAAACTTAATCACCTGGGGCAGTGGTGAAGGGTGGTCTGAAAAATGTGTGGATTTTTTAGGGGGGCGGGAAACCAGCATCTAACCAGTGAGGAAAAGTGCCTAATACAGTTGAACCCCGGCCCCCCACCATAGATGCCTGATTTAAAAATTTTTTAAGTGTTTATTTATTTTTGAGAGAGATAGAGACAGAGTGCAAGCGGGGGAGGGGCAGAGAGAGGGGGAGACACACACACACACACACACACACACACAGAATCTGTAGAGGCTCCAGGCTCTGAGCTGTCAGCACAGAGCCCAACGTGAGGCTCGAACTCACCAACGGCAGGATCATGACCTGAGCCGGAGTCGGATGCTTAGCCGACTGAGCCACCCAGGCGTCCCATAGATACCTGATTTAAAAGGATGATGACAGAGGGTTAGCTCTCGCGGACCAGTGGGCAAGGCAAAGAAACATTTTAGGTGGGTTTCTCAGGGGCTAGCCCTTCTTGGGATCTGGCTGAGAAACTGGAAGTACTAACTACCTGCTGGCATATCTTCGAGAACGTGGATTGTTTATTCCCAGGTCCTCTTACAGACCCTGAATGATCAGGAACTTAGCTCTGTGATTCATGAGTTTCCTCATACTGATAAATCAGAGCATCCACTTGGAAAGCAAAAGCAGAATTGGCCCAGCTGTGTATTTTGATCTTCTTCCGGATGCAGGTGCCTTAATGAAGCTCTCGAAATATTTTAGGAGCTGCTCAGGGAGTATTAGGCGGAACTGTCGGACTACATTGTTTTCTCTTAGATCATGTGGTCTTTCTTGGGCACTGGCAAAGGTGTGTGTGTTTGTGTGTGTGTGCATGTATGTGTGTGTGTGTGCTTGCAGACATGCAAAACTACAGCTGAGATAATACCTGAGTTTTTCAGTTAAGTCTTTCCACATTTCAGTAATGAACGGGCAAGAGTAGAACCAAGGCGGGACATCGGTCATTGCTTGCTGTTCGCAACCAGGCATAACATCACTTTCTCCGTGCATCAACCTTTCCTGTTAAATTTGTGCTGAAAACTCCCCTTGTGTGAGTGTGTCTAAGTCCTGCAATCATTCCATAGCAGATAAGAGATAAGAAAGTGCCTCCTTAATGCTCCTCAGCCCGCTTGTTTGCTAAGATGCCTTTCTCTCGAGGTCGGCCGTTTTCAGTATTTGTAGATAGTGTGCTAGTTAAGACAGCTTTGTCGATCTGGCCAGATGCTTTTTCTCCTTCTGTCCAGAGGCCAGAGACCATCCCAGGAAGAGTGGTGGGTGGTTTATACACTGGAAATGTAGCAGAATTGTTGCATTTATGCTTTTTAAAAACACATTAACTTCAGAGGAAGGATGGGCAAATCTGGTTTAGCTGGTGAAACCCTTATTTTCCTGGAGATGCCTTAACCCATGTTGGTTTTGGCTGTAGGGTTCAGGGTCACTTTTGTTTCCTTCTCCATGCAGGGGAGGGACTTCCCTACACAGAGCCCTGGTTTTGTGGCTTTGGGGATCGGAGGTAGCATTCAAAGATCAGATATGCTTTTCCTCACTTTGGAGACGAACACTCTGGGTTTTAAAGCATTAACCTGCCTAATCTTCGTGGTGAAAATTATACCTTCTCTGTTCTAGTCATGCTGTGCATGCTGCTTTCTGTTGGGGTCTATATAAATGTGTTGAACTCATATCTACATTCCAAAGAAATTTCAAGGAACCATAAATATATGTATACATATACATATATAAAGTATATATATTAAAATGAAATTATCTCTATCAGGAATACTGCCTCAGTTATTGAACTTTTTTTAAGAATACTTTTTTTTTTTTAAGCTGAGAAGTATAGGGGTGAAAAAGATGTTATATTGTGTTTGACTATTTTCCAACTTGTATTTTCATATAATTTATATTTTTTAAAAGCTGAAAATTTAAAAGCAAGATGAAAAAAGGAAAAGCAGGTGCTTTTTAAAAATCAGAACTGAGGTAGCTTAGAGATGTAGCGATGTAAGTGTCTATGTGTTTTTTTTTTTTTTAAATGCAAAAAAAAAATTTCTTACGGGGGAGTTTTTTTGTTTGTTTATTTTAGTAGCTGATGCTGGCACATCATTTTGCTGGAGAGTTTTTTATATACTGTAGCCTGATTTCATATTGTATTTTAAACTGTGTGAGATTAAAAACAAAGAAATTCATTCATAACAATGTGGGTTTGGCTCGATTCTTTCCTGTCTGGTGCATGTGTGAAAGCGGGACAGACTCACCAACCAGAGACGAGCACAGGAAGAAATCAATGCAGTTCAGTCTCGCTGATCTCACTATCTCAGGACTAGTTCAGCTAAAGATTTCCTAATAAACTTAACAACGAGAGAATACAGGGAAGTATAAAGTAAGGCCCCGATTATTGACTATAATATGGTGTCATCCTAGCTGGATGTCCGTGGCCTTTCACAACGCATTTTGCTCATGTCTGAAGGAACTAAGAGCCACGTGAAACAAGTTTTAAATGACCCAACAGATAAACATTTGATTTCAACTGGATAAAGTTCCTGATATTAACACAGAAAGATGGGGCACCCAGGTGGCTCAGTCGGTTAAGCATCTGACTCTTGATTTCAACTCAGGTCACGATCTCACAGTTCGTGAGTTCAAGCCACACATTGGGCTCGGCACTAACAGTGCAAGGCCTGCTTGGGATTCCCTCTCTCCCTCTCTCTGTCCCTCCCCTTTTTTAATAAGTAGAAAAGCAAAAAAAAGTTGAACATCTTAGTTGGTGCTTTGGACATGAACGGTGTTCTGGTTTCTTCTTCTGAAACTAATTTTGCTCTGTGCAAATTTGGACCCATCACATTCACTTCCATGGCCCCAACTCTTTCATTGGGACTGAAAACTGAGAATGATGATAATCTGTCAGAACCCCCAGCAACCCATGCCATAAATAAAATCATATTTGTAAGTGCTTTGGGGACGAGTGCTTGGGAACACATCCTGCGTGGAACTCCTCTCTTGTTGTTGAAACTGTAGAAGGTGGATGTTTTTAATTAACACCAGCGTTTGCAACACGAATCCCAAGTCACAGCTGGAAAGAGAATTTTTGCTGAATTGTTCACAAAGAGAGCTCTGTTTCTGGAAAATCTATTTCTTCAGGCCTGGAGCTTGAGGTTTGCTGAGTGCATGCTGAACGCTGACTGTGTGGTCTAGTGGTTAGAGCGCTGGACTGGCCACGAGGGGGGCTCTGGGTCCTACACCTCAGACAAGCCACCACCACCCCCTGGGAGACTTTGGGAAGGTTGCTTGAGGTCCTTATATGGTTTAGTCTTCAGCTGCAATCCCAAGCAAAGCCGGAGTTCCTGAGCCAATCTGAGGCCCCATCGGAGCTATCTCCCCTGAATAAACACTACACAGAGAATAGATTTCTGCCTCAGTCGAGGAGTAGGTCAGAGAGCTTTCCTTTGGTGCCAAGTTGCTCTTCTCCCCCAACGAATCTGATTTAATGCTGACCAGGTTAAGAGATACAAGATATGCTTGAATGAAATAAGCTTAGACCTCTGTTTCTCAAACTAGGAGCTAGAGTTTAGAGGGCAGGTCTCAGACAACTTGGTTTGGGTGATTTCTCTTAATGATACTGCCAAGACCACCATACTGGAGCCGTGGTGGGAGCAGCTGGGCCAGAGAGACAGTATCTTCTAAAACAACTACAGGACCTGGAGGAATAGGGTAGGGTGAGGATAGAGACGCGGGAAAAAGGGGAGTCGTTCAGAAAAGCTGGTCATCAAAAATCTCTAGATTTGACAGGCTTTCAGGAGGTTACGGGATAATCTGGCTCACCACTGCTATGACTTTGGAGCAAATTGTAACATTCAGGCCACACATACAAATACATAAAAATCCTGTATAATGAGGTGTAATTTTCTAACCTAAAAAGGAAAAGGATTGTGATTTGCGCTTTGGGTAAAATGAGGCAGGCCACGTAGACGAGAAGTTACGTGGGGGCCGACCGTGGGCTAATTGTGCACCATAAAGATGTTCAGTTTGGCCTTCATGGTGTTGGGACTCACCTATGCAGCTCCACGGAACAGTGTGCTGCAGGACAGTCATGGGTGGTCTTCGAATCCTGGCATTCCTTTGTAGCAGGCACCCGTGGACACCGAGGGGTAGGTGCCCCTCAAGGTGAACATGAATCTCCTATTCTGTCTCTAGGTCAGCCCCACACATTTGCACTCCTGCCTGGTCCCTGTAGAATTTGACTTGGTGACCCTTATGAAGCTATCTATTCAGGATCTACGCTTACTTTGGCATGAGACCCATTTTATTCTAGAACCTATGGTGGAAGGGACTACAAGAGGTCATC